TTTCGACTGACAGACGCTTCCGCAGTAGGAGTCAACTGGCGCACACTGCGAATCATATCAAAACGTCCTTGAGGTTGCTCATTCCTCCAGTCTCGCTCAACATTTGCGTCTTCTCCAACATTGAACCCGGAGTATACTGGGTTCCAGGGTTCCTTCTGAGAAAGTTGTGTAGAACGACACAAGCCATCACAATGCCATCCACTTTCGACGGCTGCATATTAATCGTTGTATGAAAAATACGAAAATGTGGTGCAAGTTCTGCTACTGCTAGCCCCCAGCATGTAATAACCATCTTACTTACTCACTCATGGAGCTGAGCCCTTCTGGAGGAGCCGCCAATTCTGCAGCTACTCAAGAATTTCCCAGCATTTTATGGAACCCGAAAGTTCATTACCATGTTCACAAGAGCCCTCCACTGGTCCATATCCTGAGCCAGATCTATCCAATCCATACCATCCCATCCTATTAGGAGTGAAAACCAAACATTGTAATACGATACGAAATCCACATGGTAATACAGTCGAGTAGAGGTAATAATGTCAGCGAACAATGGGAACGCAACAATGACAATTCTGGTCGCACCTAGATACTGGGGGCTAGCAGGGAAGCAACCGGTCATCCCAGACCCGACTTATGCACTCTCCGGTTAAGTTTTCGTTTTGTTTCAGGATGAAGCAAGGGAAGGCGAGTTTACTCAAACGTTACATGAAGGCGAACAAACTTCGTACATGGTTTCGCAGTCTCCATTTCCGAAAAGGAAGAAAACCTCTTCAAAAACTTCTAGAAGTGTCCATGCTGAAGATACACAGCGCCAAACTCTTATTCAAAAGGCAATGGCTGTATTTAATCAACAAGATGATGAATACGACGCCCTAGGGAAAACGTACGCTGCTAAACTTCGTCGCATGCCTGCCGCTCAGAGGGACATTGCTGACGAATTGATTAATGATGTTCTGTTTAAAGGTCTGCAGAGTAATCTTACACCTTCGACTTTTATTTCTGATTATGGGTTGCAATTTTGTTGTGTAGAAAGCAGTGATGCTGCAAGCTTTTCAGAATAGAAGGGGACGGGAAAGTGAAGTGGGCGGAGTTGGAAAAAACACAATCGATCCTATATAGGGCCTACCAGTGATCTGAAGAAATGTCGTATTCAGAAATTAGCAACAGAAGTAGCAGCGTCTGCTATATATATCATATGACTGAAATGATCTTGAAATACAGTTTTGTGTTGCCCGTAGAATATCAAACACACAGCCTAGCAGAGTGTATGTTCCGTAGAAACATGAATAAGAGCAAAACGTACAACACAATATGTCTCCCCAAACATGTTTTCTAAATGGGTCACTCCTATCCAGACACCATCACTGTGTTTTCTAATTAATGAATCAACCGTAATTTTGACGTGGAGGTTTTCGGGACGCGGACGGTGCCAGAGGCTGAGATCCGATCGTCTTAATAAAACATTCAGGATAAAGTCGCTGTTCTGCCTTATTCGAGTAGTTTGTCGCCTGTTGCAGATGTGCCTAATTAGGCCTACAGTCGGGGTTCTCGTGTCTTTAACAGTCCAAGAGTACTGCCCAGTATTGACCTTGTTTTGGCACGTTTGCAGCGAAAAGTTGCAACAAGATTATATAAACACAGTGACTGCCTAACAGGAGCATTCTGCAGAAGGAATTATAAATTACATGCTGACATCCATGATTTTAAAATAAGTTCTACAAAAGAAAATGTTGCTCCTGTGATAAATGGAAACTAGGCCCTTTAATTTTGGAGGTGCCTTATTTTTAGATAAACTGAGTGATTAAGACTACGACGAATTTTCCCTTGTAATAAACAAATATTAAATTCACTGTTAACTTGATACACTTCCAAATTATCGAGAAGTATATAACTGTTTAATGAATAAACAATCAGTATTAAGACTTTGCCGACCACAGTGGCCGCGCGGTCTAAGGCACGAAATTTCATCGCTCACTCAAACGCAGGGATCGTGGGTTCGAATTCCACTCAAGGCATTAATGATTGTCTGCGTTTAATCTGTGTTTTTGTTGTCCTGTGAAGGTAGCAGCCTTGCGACGGGTTGATCCCCCGTCCAAGGAGTCTTACCGATTGTCTAAGATGAAGAAGCTGAAGTGAAACGAAGCGTTTCACGGATGCCCTATTCTCCAAGTGGGAGCAACAGGAATATACAGATAGGTAGATAGACAGACAGCGATAGATACGTGTAGATAGGTGGGTGAATGAGTGGGTGGGTTGGTAGGTAGGTAAATAGATGCCCTTCACTATTAATACACACATTAAAAGAAAATTACACGTATATAAGTTGTTTAATATATGCTCAAAAGTTGCATTGTAACAAAGCATTACATTCAAAGAATAAAAAGGAATTCATTTCAACGTAATATGAATTTAATTAGTACTAGTTTTTATTTTTCCTTAATTGTGAGTATTTGCTGAAAATGGAAGTGAAACGTTTGTTTTTTCGTAGATTCACCCATTAATATCAGGGATAAAAGACTTAGGCACTACGATAAATTATGTTTATATATATATATAGGGGCGGATAGAAGTGACCAGAAGACGAGGAAGAAGACGTAAGAAGATGCTGGATGACCTTGGGGACAGAAGAGGATATTTTCATTAGAAGGAGAAAGTTCTAGATCGCATGAAGTGGAGGAACTGTTTTGGAAGAGACTGTGGACCTGTCGTCTTGACAGATTACTGATGAATGAATGAATATATATATTTATTTATTTATATACATATATACCTATAAATTCGGCTGGGAGGAAACCTCTTTTAATTAATATTAAAAACCAAAGACTTCGGTAATCTTGTTGTTTATTGACCATACAGTTCTGAGCAGTCAGAGTGTCGACACGTTCTACTTTGGGTTAAAATCGGACTACAGAAATACGAGTAGGGACTTTCCCTCTAAACTCACGTGGTTTTCTGGGAAAAATCTGCCAGAACCGAAACAGTTTCGAACTGAAGTTGTATAGAACATGGGACATGGACACACAGTGAACCAAAGAAACAAAGTTTCCATTGTAATAAAGTAGAGGTTGTAGCACCGCGTTTAATTATGTTTTAATTCTCTTTACTGTTGAGTATACAAATTCTGCAATGTATACGTAAATTAACAGTTCTGTGTCGTTCACTCCCTTTTGTTTAATTTTCTCGAAAGACCGTATCTCCTACGTAATAATTGTATTTGAACATAAAATATGTGCTTCACTTTTTCATTTTTTCTCTGAGATGAATATTTAGACCATTACATTCGGAGTGTGCGCAGAGACGTAAATTGGTCTTCATAAAAATATTCATTATTTTTATCCGATTTTAATCAAAATTTGAATGTGTTGATTTCACGAAAAGCCATCTGTTCGTTCTCGAGTAGTTTCATGCATACGAATTGATGAAGAGACTTTGATAAACACTCCACCTGGATTACTAGCACGCCAAAAAATAAAAACAAATTTTATGCCCAGTACACTTTTTTTCATAATTCTTGCGGTTTTAGAGGTAATTAAATAGAAGTTGTTGAATGGGTTAGAATTGTTAAGCTATTTGGAAACTAACACTACTTAACTATAGTTTGGATACATTATATTTTTAGGCTGTATATCCTATATATTTGTCTCGTCACCAAAATGCAAAGCAAAATCATGACATAACGATACGAAACAGATGTTTTGAAAATGTGGCACAGTTCAGGTACTTGGGAACGACGATAACAAATCAAAACATGATTGAGGAGGAAATTAAGAGGAGATTGAACTCGGGTAATGCTTGCTACCATTCAGTCCAGAACCTTTTCCCTTCTCGTCTGCTGTCCAAAAACATAAAAATTAGAATATATAAAACTATAATTTTGTCTGTGATTTTGTATGGGTGTGAAACTTGGTCTCTGACATTAAGGGAGGAACATAGACTGACGGTATTTGAGAACAGGATGTTGAGGAGAATATTTGGCTCGAAGAGGGATGAAATGACAGGAGATTGGAAAAAACTGCATAATGAGGAGCTTCATAACTTGTACTCTTCTCCAAGTATAATTAGAATGATAAAGTCAAGGATGATGAGGTGGGTAGGGCATGTAGCACGAATAGGAGAGAAGAGGAATGCACATAGGATATTGGTGGGAAAGCAGAAGGAAAAAGACCACTGGAAGACCAAGGCGTAGGTGAATGAGTAATATTAAAATGGATCTTAGAGAGATAGGATGATATGATATTGATTGGATTGATCTGGCTCATGATAGGGACCAGTAGAGGGCTCTTGTGAACACGGTAATGAACCTTCGGGTTCCATAAAATGCTGGGAAATTCTTGAGTAGCTGCAGATTTGGCTTCTCCTCAAGAAGGGCTCAGCTCCATAAGTAAGTAAGTAAGTATATCGTGTATATCACAGCGTATTTCAGATACGCTGACGTAGAAGTGACCTGTAACTGATAGAGGTGAAACGATTCACTCTTGCGACGTCATTCCTTGAAGAACTACAGACGTGCGTGAGCGGAGCGTGTTGATAGGGGAACTTCCTTGTTCTTATACAGCTTGCGTCCGGCTCCACATTAAATTAGTTTGTTTTGTGTAAAAATGTAGTTGGAATAGAAGATTCATTATTGGATGGGCCAGAAATTAAGTGTCAACAGCATATTTGATTTGAATGTCCACGTAATACAGTACAAGTAATAACAGAATTTCTTCTTAGGTTATTATTAACTCCCCTCTACCGTTATTAAATCATAACAACGTTACATGAGCATGTTGCTGTTTACCCGTTACTCTACATGACTATTATAGTGAAGATCCAGTTCTCGGTACATGAGAATTTGGAATTTTCTGACACAGAATCGATACTGTGAAGGGAGGGGGAAGCAACGCCTGTCGCACTTCGCTTATTCGTCCATAATTGTGGACAGGTGTTTTTACGTATTTATGCCGTTACTTGAAGTACTTATTTGTTTGTATTCTTGTGGGTGAAGAATTTTGTTACGTTGTTACATAAACCCATTTAATATACAGACGACTTCCCCTCCCACCAACTACGACTTTAAGACGGTATGAAAGGAAAGGTCAATACAACGTCCAGGACCCTGCACAGTCATTCGAGAACTGTCCTTGACAGCCGGCGTTGCAGGTCTGTTCTTTACTCACTGCGCAGATAATTAGAATTTTGTTGTAAATTATTTCTACATTCACATAATTTATCCGTTGACCCTTTTCCTCTCTCTCTCCCACAAAAATCCAACTTTGGCTGTTTCACAGATGAAAATGGTTAGCGTTTCTTATCCACGTTAACATTTTAAGGACCTCAAGGAGATCATTTCGAAAAAAGTAGTCAATCCATTTGCTATGAAACAAAATATCGTCACCTGAAGACTGACTTATGAAAAGATACCGAAATGCAGCACATTTGAGTATTTAAATAAAGTACAAACTTAACTTCTATTGCTGTCAGCTGAAACGCGAATCTTAATGAGATACACTGTGTTTTCAATGGTCTTCTCTAGCATAAAGTTTCGTAAAAATTACAATTCTTAAAAAACAAAGTAGATTTTAAATTTTAATTTCATCAAAACGATATAACATAAACGTTTATATGAATTAATTATGTTGAGAAATATAATAAAGAGATACTGAGACCATTTTGATTCAGGATATAGCTAATGTCTCGAAATAAATAAACAGAAATGGTCTTTCAAGATATAAATAGCCTACACACCCATACAGGACTATCGTCGTTTCATACCCTCATCCAGTTCAGTCTGTTCTACAAGACCACAACATATTCTCCCGAAACTTTTTCAGTATTTTTCTGTCGTTCTGTGGTTTCTCCGCTGGAAAGGGTATGCTTCAAGTTCATACGTTATTGAAACTGTGAAATACGATTGTCCCTAAAAGCTTTTACCCGACAGATTTCGACAGAATTCTGTGGACATAATCGGGAATGCAACTCCTACCAGCGTTCGGTACCAAGACGGTTATTTGAAGTTAACTAAGTAAATTTCTACTATTTATTTAAAAGAGGCTGATGCATAAAATTTCAGACTTTCGTGGCCCAGAGGACCCAGAATCGGACATTAATTCCACGCTTTTACATTTGGGGAAGCTCGGATGTTGCCTTCCAAGTAAGGAGTTGAAAGCGTGGGCCGACGTTTCTCCCTTTAACAAGATTCAGAATACTTCTGATGACCCTACAAAACATACGAACATTGCTTCAGTTTCATCCAGGCTTTAGTCATGTACTGAATTCCTCCTTTAAGAATGTGCAGTTGCAGGATGCTCTAAGCACTACTGGGCCACAGTGCGGTCACAACTACTTTCTTACACTGGTTCACACAACCTAATTTCTTATCAAGACGTTTCCTCAGGCAGTCCAGGAGGTAACAAAATTCAGAGGCATAATCTCAAGGGCGAAGATGACGATTAAACATTTATGAAATCCTGTGATATATGTATCATTTATACTGCACAATTTTTATATTAGTTTTGAAACAAATTTATTAAAATACAATGCATTCTTACTGATCAGAACATCTAACATAATCTATGAGCGAAGGTTATAATTGTACGTTCTCATATAAATTCATGTGGGACAATAAACTGATATTGGGTATTTCAGTAGTGCAATATGTCAAATACAATATGTCAAAAAATTGCTTATTTCAGCTTCAGTATTTACCAATTTGCTATGCAAAATTCATATACATATACTCATGATTAAGAAGTAGGCTGTTTATATTTGCACATTTATGTACATGTGTTCTACTATCAATGCTGTCTGAAAGCCATGTTCGCGTACGGCAGCAGGAAAGAACCTGTAGGCGAATGTAGGCCTGTTATAGTGTTGAACTCCATCGCATTTCCACGCTGCCAGTACTCGGCAGTTGCAGGCTCGGTGGCCGTTAATGTAAACCGCCATCAGCGAGCATCCCGAGTTTGATGCGTCTGATATAGCCTACGTTTGTTTCCAAGTACACAAGCAGGTTTAAATATGTAGAAAATAAGATCTCGCTGATGAAAGTAACAGACGATTCTTAAAACTGTATATGCACAGATATATTAAGTCTGTCTCCCGAAGTTCTATAATAAATTAACGTATTGTATTACGGACTGCTAAATACTGCCGTGTAAGCAAAAATTATTATTTGCTTTTCAGAGAGTTTTGTAATTACATGTTCTGTGTGTTATGTAGTCACAATTACGAGTTACAAACAATGGGACATTGACGAATATATTATAGCCCATTCATTTCAACCCACCGTTTACCGAGGAGGCCAAAAAAATATTATGCTGTCAGGATAGCCCATCCTTCTCTCATGAAACGTAAAATCCGTGTAAAACTTAATTAAATATTAAGTTGCTACCGCGTCTCCATTATAAAGACCAGTCGGTTAATGGTGTTAGGGAAGTAATTGCTGTTTATTCTGAGAATCATACGAAACACATATTCATTCTGTAGGCAAAATGCTGAGTTTTTAAAGTTTAAGTAGGTAGTATGGGTAGTTACTGCTGTGCTTTAAAGAGTTCATACTGGGATTATTAACATGTGAGTCTGTGCCCTGTGAGGTAGGCCGCACACCGACATGCGTCAAGACACGAAGTCTCCGACATGACGCAAAGAAAGGAGCAAGCACAGTTGGAACGAATGAGATTATGAAAACCGCCGCACACAGGTCTGAGTCATGATGCTGACGTCAGCTTCATGCTGTAGGCACGTGCAGCAAGACTCGGCCTGTTCCATTCCTGTGCGTCAAGGCTCAGACATCAGTACTCAAGCAACAGCACCAGTGTACGTTATCGGCATGAGTGAAGAGCAAATAAATATTAAAATAGTGCAGGCGATTGAGAAATTCCCGGTAATATACGATTATTTGTCCCCGGGCCACTCAAACAAGGACGAGGTTGATAAAGCTTGGCATGCAGTTTCAAAAGAAGTAAACATAGATGGTAAGTGCACTGATTAATTTTATTTTAATGAGCTAATGACTGAATTAACTATTATACACATTGAGCATAAGCTCGTTTCGTACAAGTCTGCTCTCACTCACACATAAAACGAAAAGATTTATGTTAAAATGTACTTGTTCTGCCAATGAAGAGCTACATTTGGTTTCAAAAAGTAAGAACATAAATGGTTCCTCATTTCAACGGTCTCAGTAGATGCTCTTCTGCAGCAGGGCTGCAAGTTTTGAAATATAGATTCACAGCTGCCTTCCTCATGGTCATCATCTTCACCTAGACTCTGCTCACTAGATAAGCCGTCCTTTAACCTGATGAAGTTATGGAGGACACATTGCCCGTATTATAGTGTCTGTTTTATTTGGTCTACACACTATAGCCGTTCCATGAATTCTGAATTTTGAGGCAAGCATACCGAACGCACACTCTACACTCTTTCGGGCTCTATTAATTCTATAGTTGAAAATCCTTTCATTTGTGAATTCTCTGCGGGGATAGGGCCTCATAATGTGTCTCTGCAATGAAAAAGCTTCATCACCCACGAAAAAATATGGAAATGGAGTACAGTCATCTTCATCTGCAGGAAGTTTGTTAGGGCCGGATATATTCAGCGTTCCTTGCTGAAGATTCCTACTGAAAGCTGAGTTTCGGAAGACAGCACCATCACTGTTTCGACCATAATCACCAACATCTACGGAAATAAATAGTCCGTCCGCATCAGCTACAGCTAATAGGACAATAGAAGAATAAGCCTTAAGGCGCGTCCACATTACTCGTGCTCGTGCTCGCCAGGCTTGTGCTTGTCGGGAGACTCGTCTGGCTTTTACTTGTGCTCGTAAATCTTCGTCCACACTACTTCAGTTGCTCGCCAGGCTTCGGCGAGTGAGGATACGTACATTTACTCATAGTGTGTATAGGCTGTAGTCGTATTTTAATTTATTGGCTATAGTTTTTAAATTTAAAATTTGCTTGTCTTGTGACTTGTCGTATCGTCCACATTACTCTCGAGCATAGCGAGTCACACGAGAACGAGTAATGTGGACGCGCCTTTATAATTACAGAAGGCGGAACCACTTTTATTGGGGCACTGAACACGGATTTGCTTCCCTTCTGTGGAGGCAGTGCAGTTCGATGTACATTCGAGAGCTCCAATTATCTATCAGAAATAGTTTTCCGCAGCTCTTCTGATGGAACTGGCATAAATTCAGGCTGTAACGCAGTCCATACTGCACAACAAAAATCTTCCACAATTTTACCTACCGTTGTTTCACCTCTTTTAAACTGAAAGCATAAGCATCTATAGCTGTTTCCAGTAAAAGTAAAGTAAAGGTATCCCTGTAACAGGCAGTGGAGGCCCATAGGGTTGTGAGACGTCGAGGCTCCCACATTAAGCTAAGCTTAAGCATCTAAAGCTGTTTCCAGTAAAAGTAACTAAGTAAAAGTGTCCCTGTAACAGGCAGTGGAGGCCCATAGGGTTGTGAGACGTCGAGGCTCCCACATTTCTCACAGATGGAGGTAAGGTTGTCAGCCTTACGCGCCGGCCGCCCTTTACCCCCTGGAATATTCCTGGTACTCATTTCTGCTAGAGGCTGAGTCAGTCCCAGGGCCATAGTGCGGCTGGAAGGCTTAGGTCAATTGAAAAAAATCCACCTCATCGGGATTCTATCCCGCGACCTTCCGGTTTGTAGCACAGTGCCTCAGCCAACAACGCTACCGCGTGCCCCCTTCCAGTAGCTAAGTATCTGAAAAAAAAAAGAAACATGTATTTATATTACAGTTAACTCTTGCAAAGAAAAATGGAGGAACTGCAGAAACTGCTGGGCCAGATATTTAAGACAGACTCCTGTCAGTGGTTCTGCTGCCAGACCCAAGAAGCCATACTACCTAGCAGAATACTTGGCTTTTCTGACTCCGTTTACGAAGTCACGAAGGTAGGGCAACATGTTTATTATTTTAGATGGGTGGGGGATTTTATAATTGAGTTATTTCTTTACTTTCCTTCATTATACTTTCTTGCACAACCGCTATTAATGAATTTTCAAAGTGGACGATTTAATTCTAGGCAGCTGGGATCTATGGAGATTCATCCAACAACAAAGGAGCTTTCTCCCAAAATAGAAGAAGGGCCTGTATCTCCCGCCACCACAGAAGTACAGAATGTGAGCGACCATGAAGAAATGCAACCGGTACCTCCACCACGCGAAATTCGCAAAAAGAGGGAAAGATCCAAAGTGGATATTGATGAGGTTTTCATCTCATACCTAGAAACGAAAGCGAAAAGGGTACCTGGAGAAGAGTCGGACAATCCAGACCTCTGCTTTTTCAAAAGCCTTTTGCCGGATGTCGCCAAATTAACACCTGCCCAGAAGAGCGCATTCAAACTATTTCTTCAACAAAACTTACATGACATGTTGTACAGCTCGTCCGCTGATTTTCATAATACGAGTAATGTGAATCAGGCTGGCCCTTCCACTTCCCTATATCACTATTTAAATGTGAGTCAGTCCGGCAATTCTTCAGGCTCTTGTACACCATTGCCCTCCCCACGTGATGAAGTGTAGCTGGACGTTTCGATCCTAGTTATCAGATGTGAGTTGCCAGCATTCCATTGAAAACTGTGGCCTTTTCTAGGTTAACGTACTCAAAATTTTGGGTAATTAAAATTAAATATTATTATCAACAGTAGGGGACACTTTCACAGTGAAACGATTCGATCATGTCTAATGAACATTTAAAATAAATATGTACAATTTGGCGCACATGTTTTGTGATTTCTTTCTATTTTTATTAATTAATGGTAATACATTAATGTTATAAGTAGCCGTTCATCAGCACTAATAGCTTTCCTACAGTTTGTATCCTGCTTCTTCGATTGTGGCGAAACTCTCTGAAGAAGTTTCTTATAGGATTCTGGGGACATTCACCGGATCCTTTAACAAGTCTCGCGCTAAAACGTTGAGCACACGACTCATTAAAGTCATGAATCCACTTCCTTTTCCTTCTTCTGCGTAATTTAAGCCACATTTGCATTAAAATATCTTCTTCACTGGACGACGTCATGTCATCAACAAGAGAAGATGTGATAAGACTCAGACACGTGCTGCTTCGGTGTGCGGACTCGAGTCTGAAGCAAGACTGCGTCTTTTGTCTCATGTCTTGATGCTTGTCTTGACGCAGTTGGTGTGCGGCCGCCCTGAATGCCCTCAAGAAAAGAACTCATTCTTTCTTTAACACCTTAATCTGTGGTTTTTCAAACTGTAGGTCACAACTCCCAAAGGATCTCCAAATTCTCAAGAATTATTCAAAATACATGCTGTATCTACGTACAATTTTGGCAAATCGATAAATTTTATTGTAGCTGGAACCGGCGAAACATTTGGGGAACTATTTCATGACTGCAAAGGAACATTTGTAAGTAATTTACTCTAAGCGTAGGGAGGTTGTGAAGCTATTTAGGGAACTACTGTCACCATACAGCTTGATAAGACCCCGTAGTATTTATAGTTGCATGACTGGAATCATGGCCAGGGTTCCATATGCTGACTGTGCAGTTTCATGTTCTTCCTGAGTCTGCACAGAGAATATGCCACGACCGTCCATTTTTGGCTTCTTCATACATATATAGCCATTGAATCCACTGAACTAATGAAGAAGCGTAGAATATTCATCACACTACCAAATCAGTCTATATATGGTACAATAGGTCAGAAGTGGCCGCAGTACAAGGGACTTTTTTTATTGCTAGTGGGGTGGGACTAAGTCCCTTGTACTGCGGCTACTTCTGGCCTATTGTACCATACAAGGGACTTAGTTCCACCCCACTAGCAATAAAAAAAGTCCCTTGTGCTGCGGCCACTTCTGGCCTATTGTACCATACAAGGGACTTAGTCCCACCCCACTAGCAAAAAAAAAATCAGTCTATATAGGACTACAGCCATTTATGGTAACAAAGTTACAAAAGAGCAAGAGTTTGGAAACGGTTGGCCTCTTTGCATGGCACGACAACATTGGAAAGGATGTACCTCGCACAAAATTACCAACGGCGGTTTTTGTGGTTTATTAAGCTAGCCTAAAAATGTGAATAATTAAATGCAAAATTAGTGAACTTAACAATATCTGTGGAAAGGTGATGGGATATGCGGACAATTTCATTTTTGGCTTAATATAGATCGGTCTGCTATGGATCAGTGTGGATAAAAGTGGAACTGTTCAATCTGTGAAACTAGGGTTTGTTATGTAGCAATATGACTGCAAACAGATTGACAAAAAATTGTGGTTAAAGTCTCCTATATGAAATTTAAACAAGATCTGTGAAATGTAGAAAATTGCATTTATGGCCTTATGTAACATACGATTTATTATGGATCAATATGGCTGAAAATCGGAATTGCCTTACAATTTTGGGTGAAATTCCCCCGTATTATTTTCAACAATATCCATTTAAGCAGTTTATGGGGTACATGGAAAAGTCCGTTTACGACCAGTCTTGGTTGTGTTTCAGTATGGGTGAAAATTGGAATTGCCTGACAGCTCTGAGTGAAAAACACCCCATCAAATTTTAAGAAAATCGTCCAGCGGTACAGTAGCTGATACGTCTCAGACAGACAGATGGACAGACATGTCAGCCACATAAGGCGTCTGTTTTTAGTTTTTACACAACGCCTAATAAGGAGCATGAGCTGGTGAAAGAATATATATGTGCTGGGAGCCTATGTTGTAATGTACAAGAGACCGTGATGACCTTCGGGTTATAGCAGCACAAAGTAGTCAATTTACTGATAATAAATACTAGTTGTAAACATTAACAACAACAATAATAACATTAACAACAAATACCCTTTGTTTCTGTACACTTTTGAGTTACGTATAGTCACCAGTACAGACGTTAAAATATTCAAGGGCGTCTTATGCTCTAGATAGGCCTAATGAACTTATATCTTACATTACCGTGACAAGTTTATCCGCTATTTTGCGAAGTTCTACTAACAGAAGATTAAATTTATGATGATGGTAGTGGTGGTGGTGGTTATTGTAATCGTGTTAATAATTATGGCCTTGTTTGTAGTAGTACATATA